TTATTGGAATAGTCTTCATTCCCCACATCCTGTTGATTTTGATCTCCAGGTCCTTATATTTGGACAATTTCTCGATAATTTTAATGGAGGTGTTTCTCTCAGATTGTATTGCTATGTCAATAATTATACACTTCCTGAATTTCTTGTCTTTTATTATAATATCAAGTCTGTTGGCTTTTATTTCCCTGTCAGTTTCAATTAACCTATCCGTGAGGTTATTTTAGATAACTCTGTCTGGTTCCTGATTGTTCATACCATATCTCAGTGGTTTTGATTTTGTGCTTTTTGCATATCTTCCAGTGCACATATGTCGCTACCTTGTTACATCAGTGGATATATTCATTTTTTTGCTAGTTCCGGACATCCCGAGATGATATGGGGCCACAGTTTCATCATATTTTCTGTAGATCCTGTATTTTGGGCTAAGTTCCATTCTTGATTATATGATAGTCATAGGATCTAATTGCGAGGTTTTGGTCCTGAGCTGCAATAATTAGGCAGAGTCTCTCTCAGCTTTCAACCCCCGGTGTTTCTCAACCACTGATGTGTTTTCCGTTGGACCACATATACTGCTTTCTTTCTTTTTAGGTATTTGCCATGCAACGCTTTGTCCTCCCATTTTTTTGTAATTTCATTTGCACAAGTTGTATTGCTTTCTGTTTTACTCGTTTTGCCTCGATGTTATTCGCTTCATTTTTTGTAGGTAGGATTTCAGGTATATTAAGCTGTTTTTTGAAGAGTGCAACTTCATTGTTGATGGAGTGGATTTGGTGTTTTACTATTTGGAGGAGAGGGTCATTGGTTTTTTGTGAGGTTTGCTTCCAATCCGATTGTTGTAGCTTTTAGAGTTAGTTCAAGCTGGATTAGACCTCAGACCCCTAAAGCTCTTAGTACGTACAGCTTATTATTATTATTATTATTATTATTATTTTCTTTGATTTATGGCGTTTACACATTTCTTCCCGGGTCCCTCCCAGGGACCTAAGGTTAGAAATGGCACTTTCCACTGACAAAAAAAAAAATATTACATAGATAAAGACCTTCGTAAAGTGTGAGCTGTACTTGTCAGAACAATTTTTTGTATCTCCTTGAGGCATGGACTTCCAGGAATCCCTTGAATTAGTCTACTGCAATCTTTTCCAACCAGTCCTAGGGCTCCAACTACAACAGGGATTGTTGATGTTCCCATATGCCACATTTTTTTGATTTCTATTTCAAGGTCCTTGTATTTTGACAGCTTTTTGAATATCTTCAAAGATACATTGCAGTCAGCAGGGACTGCCATATCAATGAGATACTTTTTTTTTGTTTGTGGTCTTTAATAACAATTTATTATTATTATTATTATTATTATTATTATTATTATTATTATTATTATTATTTATCCAGAGCATATATAGAATATGCTTTCATTTTTATCAAGTCTTCTTTTTTTTAGAGAATTGACTAATTTAAATGATATAACAAAAGCAGTAGTCTTAAAATGTGCTGTGGTCAGAAGTGGCAAATGGTGAAACTAGAAAGAAAAATTCGTCATAAATGAAATGCAAAATTGTTCCTCAGAAAGACGAGAAACAAATTTCCTATTCAAAATATTTACGATAAAAATGTGTTTTTAATTGTAAATATAGCCATTATATTTTGCATTCTATGTAACGTTCTAACTGGTTTCATATTAAATTTAAGTAAAAAAAAGAGTAAATTGAGAAATTTAAAATAAATTTCATGGTGTATTAATTATGTGCTGCTATTGTCATTGTAGTCTTAGTAAAGTTAGGCTTAAATCCGGTTTGTTGGAATTATACGCATTCTAGAAGAATGAATTTGTACTAATTACAGAATAATTCTAATGGTTATTGTCTGAGTTCAACTGATTTTCACAGAAACTAGAAATGTTAAGTATCACACAAAAATGTTAGAAAAACAATGACTGTGTCTCAGTTTTTATAATTATTATTGTGAGACCGGAACTACCTACACAATAGACTCTTCCAGGTCTGTATTAAGTATGCGACACAACACTCTAGACAGAGTGACAGAGAGAGTGACAGAGAGAGTGACAGAGAGTGACATAGAGAGACAGTGAGAGTCTAGTACGACTACCAGTATTGAACACTAACATATAGTAAGCTCCACTGTTGTTAATATATCTTTCTTGCATCTAATCCGTGTTCCGTGTTTTACTTCTGTGGCCCCACATCAATTATGGAATATGATATTTATGATTGCAAAATCTTAAAAGAAGCTAACATACATATTCTAAGATAAAAAGAATTATATGTGTTGTAATAAATGATTGTGTCTCTTTCAATTTTACTTAAAAATACACACGAAGCAGTGCTGGGAATCCCAAACAGTAGATTAAAAAAAAATAGTTGATCATTATCCATGACGTCAGGCTAGATCTTTTCAAACGTCCAGCTTCCCAAAGAATACCAGGATGTAGACAAAGGAAGTGTAAATACCAGAGACACCAGTTCGGTTCTTGATAATGACTGCGAATGTAAAACGTATTTGAACAAAAATAGCAAAATATGAACATCGGGCGGTTTATCTGCAACTTCGAGCACGATACTCAACACATCCGAAACTGGAAAAATAAAATAAAGCAGGATGGATGGGCTTTTTCTTTTTTTTCTTTCTCTATCGTCCAATACTGATGAGGATGAACTCGAAAAAAAATCCCGGAATCTACATTCTGTGACGGAATGATTTGAACTAATTCTCATTCCTAGGCAGTCGACTGAATCGGACTGGCAATAGCCTTTGTGTTCTATCCTCGAGTTCAATTATTACGCGAGGTTTTGTAACAATATTACAAAACGACTTAGAGAACAATTTCGTTATCTTTGTGATCGCTGACAAATTCGATCACTGCCCCTGCATCAAATTTGGCTTTAGGCTCGTCACATCTGTGAACGAAACCTTCAAAATGGCGCGTCAAACATTTTAGGTTGAACACATTTCAAGTCAGTTTGGGTGTTGTTTGAGGAGCGTTCAGGGCGATAAAACGCTAGAAAATTCGTAAAAACATTCACGAATCCATCCAGTTGTCGGACAATCTATTATATATATATATATATATATATATATATATATATATATATATATATATATATATATGAAGAAATATAGTCTTAAGGTGTGCTATATTTATGGGATAAAGTGCTCGATATCATAGATAGAGCGTGTGTAAATATAAAAGTGAACATAGAAGTCAACACTTAGAGACGACAGTCTATTTCATGCTATATGCAATCGTCAGGACACGTGTGCCGTTATTTTTCTCGGCTATTTATACATATACGGGTCAGTGGTGCATTGTGGGTAGTCTATTATGGTGGTTATTTTACCGGAAGTCGTTTATTTAATTATTTGGGTTAAATTATTTTGCTTGTTTTTATTTAATTTTATTTTTTGTTTCTTATTTTATTTATTTATTTACTTATTTTTTAATCAGTGTTTTTTATTAACGTAGTAAAAATTTGTTTATATCACTTATTTAATAGTTTTGTTTTGGTTGGGGAATTTAATCAAAGCTATTTGTTCCGTTTTGGGGTTGGTTGTTGTAGTTTATTCTAACTATTATTTTGGCAGAAACAGTTTTTAATTTGTGTTTATTTGGGTTGATTATCTTTATTTGTTTTTTCTAACGGTAACTTTATCGGGATTGGTTACTTTATTTATTTACTTGGATGAATTTAGGTCAATTTATTTTACTTCTATATTTTCTCGTTTCGGTTTTCGATTTTTAAGCAACGTAGTATTTATTTATTTTTATTTTATTTTATTTTATTTATTTATTTATTTATTATCGTTATATAACAGTTATAGCTATTTTTTTCCGATTTTTTGGTTTGATATTTTAGTCTGTGTGTGTGTGTGTGTGATAAAAATATAGTTTTATGGTATGCTATATTTATGGGTAACAGTGCTCAATATCAGTGATAGAGCGTATGTAAAAATAAAGTGGAGACTGAGATCAACACCGAGCAGCAACAATCTGTTTCAAACTCGTCAGGCCATATACTGTACATAGATACATACATACCAGACTTCGATTGCCTCAAGTTGTTTTTTTTTAATTTGGGACAATACCTCCATGTTTTCACTGCCATAGAGAATACTACGCATTATATATCAATTCTGTCATCTTTTATTCGTTTCTAATGTTAATTTTCAATCACCATTTCATGTTCTAATGTTAATTTTCAATCACCATTTCAGTCACCTGTCGTAATTGCTTTCAAAAAATATCCTTCGCTCTTCCTGTGCATCTTTGAATGTACACAACCCAGCCAGGTGAAATTGTTTGATTTTGATATCCCCGATGTGTAATTTATATCGTATGTTGTTGCCGTTTTTCTCACCAACACTCTTTAATGTATATACATTTTGTGAAAGCAGACTGAATATAGAAAATAATACTAAAAACCATGCGAGATACTCATTAGATTTTTCATAAAAATATCGAAAAATATTTTTCCTTATTCGGAAAAAGTTCATAAATAATGTATTTGGATACGTTTTGTCTACTAGAGAATATATCATTTTCCTCATAAAAGGAAATAAAAATAGTATAGTTTGCTCCTAAAGGCATCTTATTTTTATTACGTTGAAGTCTATCAGCGAGTGATTCGCTTGTAAAGACGTCACTGATGTAATTCATTGGAGCGTGAAAATTTCATCGGTCACTGAATGCTTAGATTTTGTTAGAAACTGGTTACAACTGCCAGTGCAATCAGGTAGCGTTTGGTGGGGTACCTAATGACGCAGAGGTGATTGTAGTTACTAATTTCCGTCTGAAAGTTTATTTTTCTATTCAACAAATGTTTTGGGAAATGAACTGTTCTCATGTTTATAGATCAATACAGGGAAGAAAAAAATAATTAGATAAGAAAATTGTTCATAATAAAACACATTTCTTAATTCATCTAAAATTCGAAATAACTCTTATAATAATTCTATGAATTATTCGTACTTACACATACATCCTGGGAGGTTAAATCAGGCTGAAAACACCTGCTTCCGTTCAATCACCGAAGCTAAGCAGCGTTGAACCCGATCAGTATTTAGATGGGGGACAACTTGGGAACACTGGGTACTGTAAGCTACTTCCTACAATAGGAAATATCTTTCGGCTTTAAATAACCCACGAAAGGTTGATAAGCCGTACAAAATACACCGATCGGCCAACACACTGTAATTCATGGAATTCATAGAATAATAGCAATGTTTTTTCTCAGAATTTGAAACAAGGTCTTTTATAGGTAAAACGTCATTTTTCTTACATCGAATGAGTCTAAAATCCTTCAGATGTCATTCAGACGTCAATTCTCATAGCGTAAATCAGAAGAGGTAAATTGCGTTGAGTAATAAATATTACAGAGGTTAGTTTTTTTCCTCTTCACTATTTAATCCTTTGTTTTTCGTGATTGGGTTTATGCGATATCAAATGCCGCTGTGAAAATGAGGGAAATGATTATTGCTAAGTTTGGGGATTCCTTTAATGCTGGAATGTCAGATTAAACACGAAGCAATTGCGCATGCGCATACACAAGGACGGATTTTTAACATTACTCCACACCTATAATACCGTCACGACACTTATAACGCTTTAGGATAACGGGTGCGCCAAATGTACTGTAGTCATCTCTTTTTAGGCTAGTTTTGAATTCAGAATTTTCCTTCTTCAAGATTAGTTATCACCGAGCGCTGTTATTAAACAATAACTAAAAAGGAGAAGAGATACATTCATACCTTTTCCCAAGTGCAAGTGAGGAAACAAAGCGAAGGTTGGAATTCGAAACCGGACTTCTCTTTTCGCGTATCTAACCGCTGCATTATTTGTGAATCCAAATATGAATATATATATGATCATTTTCTTCTCCTTCCAGCTATGGATAAATAGCAGGACAGACTGGGTTCTATAGCCTTGGATATGGCAACTGGTCTAGGAGAAAGGACAACTCTGAATTCAAAACCTTTGGAGATTCGTCTAGGGACATTGTGGCGCGTAGTGCACCAAGTTTCTGTATTCGGCCTTCCAAAAAGTGTGGATTGTTCTGCACAAAACCTTCAGCTCTATAATCAAATCATATGTACTGGTGTCTGAATTGCTTTATATATATATATATATATATATATATATATATATATATATATATATATATATAATGGACTCTCCTTTTGAATTCGACGTATGAGGATCCGACAACCACATTCAGTTTTTATACTTGTGTCGTATGTGGCATACGTAGTCACATGCATACACGTTCACATACTGTGCAACAGCGAGGATCTCGAGACATACAAACAGGAATATTTGCTGATGCTTTTCGACGTTGTCTTTCGTCTCTTTCATATATATATATATATATATATATATATATATATATATATATATATATATATATAATACAGGTAATAGATCCTTTGGTATATAATCCTGGTGGATGCTAGTAATAATAATTATTAAAACTGGTTCACAGAAAGCTCGATATTTTTACAGAAAAAAAAAATTACCTCAACATAGATATAATCTATCTCAAGCTGTTCTATATACGGCTATCATCAGTCTCTGAGTACTTGTCTCGGTCCATTGTTTTAAATTTATTTTCAATGTCAGTCCTCCTTTCGTAGACGCCTTGTTAATGAGAGTGGGTTTGTATTAGCAATTGGTAGGGACGTAAGATATTTTATCCCGAGGGAAGCGGTCTGGGTTTAGTGTCTATGGTTACGACTTGTTGAATATATATATATATATATACATATAAATATAGATAACTAGACTCGTTTCGAAAAACCCTCGAATTTTTGATTTGCTAATCAAATCGATCTCGAGGGAAAAAAGGTTTTAAAAAAAGAAAGAGCTACAAACATGAACTTCTGCCGACAAAAAATCGCACAGATGCAGGTCTGAAGCCCAAAGAAAAAACCCCGATACGAGTAAAAACTAACTAACAAAAGCGCTCAATACAACCGTAGAGCAGACCTAGATACACCTAGTGAGCCAGACAAACCTACCTAGGTTTCACCTAAACGGATCGTCAGGGAAAGTTTGGCTAACGAGGCAAAGAGAAACACATATTTATAGGTGATAGCTAAAATCATACCACGTGACAAAAACAAAACACAAAACAACCTAAGTCGGCGGGGGGTAAATATTTATTCAACAAAAAAAAAAAAAAATCCTCAGTGGAAAGTCAATAACGGGAAAACGTCTAATTTAGTAGCCAAGATTTTTTGTCTACATACATTGAGAATTTCAGTTTTAGAGTTTAATAGCTGGTTAGGTTGATCATATAAAGCTATGGCTAATTTCTCCTCAGCACATAATTTGCAAAATTTATGGCCTGCTTTATATTTTGGGCATTTTTTTAATATTTCCCATTTAAGGATGGGGTCTATATTATCTTCTTGTTTGGTTTTCCATACGTAGGTAGATAGCGTGGTACTATGTTTAATTTTTGCATTCTTAAAACTACTCACTTGACTTTCCACTGAGGATTTTTTTTTTGTTGAATAAATATTTACCCCCCCCCCACTTAGGTTGTTTTGTTTTTTGTTTTTGTCACGTGGTATGATTTTAGCTATCACCTATAAATATGTGTTTCTCTTTGCCTCGTTAGCCAAACTTTCCCTGACGATCCGTTTAGGTGAAACCTAGGTAGGTTTGTCTGGCTCACTAGGTGTATATATATATATATATATATATATATATATATATCAGATCAAAGCCAGGATATTGATTGTTGATTTTTGGGAAAGACTGGATTTATTATTTTAATAAAATAAGATCAGTATATGTTATGAATAAATAAGGCGAAATTTATAGTTTCGTAAAGTATCGGCTCCCATCAGAAAGTGAGAGAGAGAGAGAGAAGCGTGAAGAAGAGATGAAGATGATGATGATGATGATGTTACATAACATTCGAAACAGAAGAGGCAAGTGATTGTAAGTGTGTATCATCTGTGTCTTCTTGGGTGTGTGTTTAAGCTTTCATGTGTGGTGATGGTGAAATAGCATTGAGAAAGCTATACATCTAACTATATTTAAATTATTGCGCGTCCTGAAGTCTGTAAATGTACTCATTACATGATATAAGTCCGCGAGACTTATTCAGCGCCAAGAAAAATAGGTCCATATTGATTTTTTTTCGCTAAACTCTATTTGATCGGGACAGCCACTGGAACTGCCATTAGACTTTTCACAGCTGATAAGCCCACATGAATAAGGCAGGTAGTTCCTCACCTAAACAACTAATTTCATCATCACATTTTCTCATTCTACTCACATCGCAACAGCCTCAATGTCACCATTTAGAACTCGCCCACATACCTATTCAAGCGGGAAGCCCACCTAAGTTTCCAACTAGCTTGCTACTTGTTTACTATCCAATGAAGCAATATGACTATCTAGCTTCCTACTGTTTTTACTGCTATCACCTAAAGGCTTGAAACAAATGGCATTTCTACATCCGGATAAATGGATAAAATATGAAGAGAAATGGGAGAAAAAAAGAAGAACAGGTAAAACGAGAATAAAATGGAATAAACGAGAATAAAGATATGAACGTAGCAAAAGAAAAAGAGAATAAATTCGGAAGGATGGATAAGCAAGAACGAAAAGAAGAAAAAGGGAATAAAAAAATCATTCGTCCCTATAAAGTAACGTTAAAAAAAACAATCAGTCAAGAGAAAATAGGAAGAATGTGGAAGTCAAAAAAAGAAAAGAACAAAAAGGTGACAGAAAAAGAAACAGAAAGAAATTGAAAAGAGAGACAAAAATAGAATAAAATGGTAAACAGAAAGGGTCGGAGAGCCGAGTTCGAATTCCAGTCGAATCCATTACATTCACTTAGGTGCTAACACCCTTGGGAAAGGTGTGAATCCTCTTTCTTCTCCCTCCAGCTATGGATAAATAGCAGGACAGACTGGGTTCTATAGCCTTGGATGGCAACTGGTCTAGGAGAAGGAAAACTCTGAATTCAAAACCTGCGGAGGGTCGTTTGGGGACCTTGTGGCACGTAATCTGTAATCGGCCCTTCAAAAAGTGTGGATGGTTCTGCACGAAACCTTCACTATAATCAAATCTCATGTGCTGTTGTCGGGCTGTCGGTTTCCTGGGAACTGATCTGCTTGACCCTCATACGTAAATTCAGTATATATATATATATATATATATATATATATATATATATATATATATATATATAAAAAAAAACAGATGAGGAAAGAGAAAAAGGAAGAAGAGGAGATAAAATGAAAATAAGGAAAGTGTCATAAGAAGAATAAAACAAGTAACACACCTTTCTCTTAAAAGTATAAAGAAAAAGCGATAGATAGCAAAAGAGAAAGAGAGAAATAAAGAAAGACGGGAAGAAAGAACGAGAGAGAGAGAGAGAGAGAGAGAGAAATAAGGAGTAGGAATAAAAGTTCAAAAGATATGAAAAGGAAGCGAGAAAAGAATATAAAGCAATGATTCTCTTACAGGCATAGGGAGAAAGTAAATAGAATATTCTGAATTCCCAGATAGACAGCAAGAGAAAGAGAGAGAGAAAGAGAAAAAAAGATAAATAGATATTAAGATATATAGAGACGAAGAAAGAGATTGAAAGAGAGGGAAAGAAAGAGATAACAAAATAGAAAGAGATACAAGGCGAGAAAGAAATAACACGATAGTGAGAGAAAGAGAAAAAGAAAGATAAATAAAGAGAATAGAAGAAAGAGAGAAAGAGGAAAGAATAACAATTTATCTATCTATCTATCTATCTATCTATCTATATATATATATATATATATATATATATATATATATATATATATAGAGAGAGAGAGAGAGAGAGAGAGAGAAAGCGCACACGCACGCGAGAGAGTGAGTGATATAGAGATAAAGCAAGAGAGATAGAGAGAGAATTCTAATGGAGAATCCATAACAGTAAAACTTGAAGCTGATCGCCGCATGCGTGATTCGATCAATCAGATTACTGAACGAGTTTTCTCGGGAACCGGAAGTAAGAAAACTAGTCATTGATGATGATGATGATATTGGTCGTGATGATGATGGTAGGAAGGAAGTCGAAGGTATTTATCAGAAGCCTGGGGAAGTGTTGAACTGACAGAAAGTTCAGATCTTTACAGAGCGAAGCTGATGTGTGAAACAGTTGGGGTTAAGAAAGAGGATTAATCAAAGAAGCAAGTTTCTCAAAGCGAAACACGCTTAGGCGACATGGACTGTTTATTAAATTGGCGCGTACTTAAAAAAGCGCTAAATAACAAGAACATTTTAATATAAGTACATGAACAAAGGAAAAAGTAAACAGAAATGAAATATTGATATGTGAAATATGTTAAAAAGCTTATTCAGACATATGAAATCTAAAAAGAGGATAAAATGAAAGGAAGCGTCTAATAGATCGTTTTGTGCAAAATTTGTAAGAAATATTTGATAACAGATAAAAGAAACTTCATCTGTGATTTTTTTTCACCGTCGTTGAATTATTTGCCATTTTTCGCCAATTTAAAAATTAATCTGAATAATTAATACAATGCAGATCAATAAAACAATATTTTTGGCTATTTTAAACATTTTATTTGAATTTGATATACTTTGAATGCTGAGTTCCTCTAGCTAGGGATTAAATAACAGAGCTGACAGGAAATTCTTGCCTTGAACTAGTAACAGTCTACGAGAAGGAAAACTCTGAATTAGACACCATCCTGAAGAAGGATAGGCTTTGCCAAGCTAACTTACCCTGGACACACTAATGCAACTATGACTGCAGGACATGTGGTGCTCCAACGGATCTAAGCGGTTAGGTGAGGTGAATTTTGACTTATAACAAATATAATAGCTAACAAAATAATTTAAGTAATGGATTTTTATTAATCCAATAAAAATATAATGAAAGTGATATTCTCGTTACTAAAAACCATGAGTATAAAAGCAAAAGCAAATATGGTGCTGAAAACGATCGTAGAATAAAAGTTAGGTTTATATGTTAGATCTGATCTTCTGTAAAGCTTTTAAGTTCTCGTGGCTTAGTCGATTAAAGCACCTGGTACATTCAATCAGACTTCCTTGAGAACAACGCGACGTATATTCAAATCTCACTGAAATCTTAACATTTGTTTTTTTTTTTTACTAATGTTCATCCAATACAAGGCCCAATAGCCACTCAAGCTAGAGGGTTTACTGTGTGGACTTATATTAGCATAGTAAAGAACAAGTATTAAGAGTATAGAGTTGAAGCAGACTTTAGAAGAAACTGGAAACCCAATCCTAAACAGGAAACAACGGAATAAACCTCTACTCCTATTGAAAAGGCCGGAGAGGAGTGTGAACCTATCTATTCCTATTTCCTATCCGCGATGTTCATCCATGGATGTCCATCGTAAAATAATAACAAATAAAATGTAACTAAAAAAGATGAAAATAAATTTAATAATAATGGCTGACAGAGATATATTTCATAAAATTAAAACGAAGTTAAATATTGCCAAGAGAATTATTCTTTTATGTAAAAGAAAGAAGGACATTTTACATAAGTGTTTACCAAATTTGTTATATTCTGATTTAAGGCAACAATAGTGGAGCCCTTAGTATGAATAATTCATCAGTGATGACTTGTGAGATTCCTCTGATAACTATCACTCGTTGAAAGACACTTCCAAATAATATTTAAAGTTGTTACATTATATAATAAATTGTTTAGATTATACATGAAGAATACTCCAAAACAAATGAACTCCTCCTTGATATCATCGGTAGTATTTATTAAACAAATAAGCCAAAACATTCATTAATTTTTCTGAATACATATATAAAGACACAGTATCCTGCTAGCAGAAGAAAACCAAAATGGTAGTTTCACACCAAATTCTAAAATTTTATCACATCTTCTCGATTTATCAACGTTTTAAATATGATTTGTTCAGCATTCATCCTATGAACCAATGTGAAGTTTGTAATATTCGCTTCAATATTAGCAACCTCTTCATCACTTTCCATTATGTTAATGTGTTTTATTTGTTTACATGATATAAAAATAAAAATCGTGATTACAAAGTGATAATAGAATATTCTGAAGTGATAATATAAAAACAAACAAACAAACAAATAGGAAACGTTTATAAATCTAGCATGTTTCACTTTTATTAAAACTTCATCCGAGAATGACAGAATTACCTTAATGTGTACAAAATTTGTTATAATTTATTTCCTAGAAGATATTGCTCATAATCACATACCAGCATTTCTCTTTTAAGATAATATCTTTAAATTTTATGCTACCAAAAAACAGCGCTTTCCAAAGTGCGGAACGGTTATCCATGTCGACAGTGTACCAATTCCTTTATTTGCTATTGTGTCCACTTTCGAAGTAATGCCCTCGAGAAAGGCACGAATAAATCTCCTCTACCTTCATCTATGAGATAAATAGTAGTGTAAACTGGGATCTCTAGCCTTCGATGGAACCCCAAAAATTCGACGGAATTAAAAAAAATCGGAAAGAAGGCAACGGGGGTCCCCATTTTTCCCAAGAAGCCATGTCAATTCACAAAAGGAATGTTCGCTACATTGTATAATAAATTGTTTAGCTTATACATGAAAAATACTCCAAAACAAATTATCACATCCTTGATATCATAAGTCAGTCAGTTATGTGCCATGTGTGATACACGCTTAGGCGATCATGTATCTTTCGATACATGACTGACGAGGCAGATTTTTACCGCACTAGGTTACCATTTCTTTCTGCGGTAGACTAGTTGCCATCCAAGGCTATAGAACCCGGTCTGTCCTGCTATTTACTCATAGCTGGAGGAAAAAGAAGTTTTGCATGTAAGCAAATGTAATGGATTCGACTGGAATTCGGATTCGAATCTTCGATTCCTCAATCCAAGCCGCTATTTATAACTCCACCGTGCCTCCCCATATCATAGGTAGTAAAACAAATAAGACAAAACATTCATTCATTCTTATGAGAACACAAAGAATTCTGATAGCAGAGGAAAACCAAGACAACAATTAAGGTTTTAGTCAAGTGCTGACTGCATTTGAAACATGTTTTATTATCCTTTCCTTCGAGTGTATTAACATGGTAGCTGGGCTGCGCTTTTCATCCCCACTTGCCTGTCTTGACAGAGTTCAAAAGCATTTACGCAGCCTTGTGGGTGATGAATTATTTCCCACCCTACAACCCCTTTCCCCACAGGCGAAATGTTGCTAACCTCTTGCTATTCTACGGCTCTTTTCATTATAAATATTCTGACGAGGTACATTCTTTCGTTCCACCTGATCATAGCGTTCTAACTAGGACTCGTCATACGTAGGGTCGAATAATCCTCAACCCCGTTCGTATTTCACTAGTCAGGAAGAAGTTTCACTGAAACAGCTTCTTCACCAGAACTGTTATTGTGGAACAGATTCCTGAAAGGAAGCCTCCCTGATCACTATAATCTTAACCACTTTAAGTCTAATCAACCATTATCTATCATACATATCCTCATAATATGCACTCCCCCTCCCCTTTATTTAGTAATCCTTTACATTGAGTGTCTCTTGAGACTTGTATTAGGTGAACAATATTATAAAAAATAAAATGCAAGTCATACTTGTGGAACTAGCCATCGGCCACACCCGTTTGGAGATAGTCAGCTTCTTTAAAGTGTGCAGGGGAATCGGAAGAACGACAAGTGGCTCTGTGCAGACACTACAGAGATACCCAGGTGGGTGTAAATCAAATACGCAACGTATGTGATGCTCCTGAAGGTCGAGAGCAACGAGAGCCGTGTCACCCCACCTTACTTCTTACACTAGGCATCAGGCTAAATGTCTCTGTCTGAATCTAGTTGTTGGACAGGGTGGTCAAACCTTGGATCGACGAAGTGACAGGGTTAGGGTTACAGCAGGACTCTCCTCCCGACAACCGGATACAAGTGTCCTTGGTATATATATATGACCGAGAATTTTCAGAATTAGGAGACATACAGAACGTTAGGTCCCCTCACCTGAATCACATGGTTGAAAGGAAGACCAACAAGCGGCCCTATGTGATGAAGTGGGTATACTGGTAAAGGAATAAGACGAGGTACGAAGCTTTATTACTATCCAGCTCCTCTCCCCTCCCCACCAGTTATGGGTTGAACGCCTAGGTTCCATAGCCTTGGTTGGTAGCCAGTCTACAGTAGAAAGAAACGGCAAACTACAGCGGAAAGAAACAGTAACCTACTCTGTTTCGATAAATACAGCAAAATTTAAACAACGTAAGGCAATTTAAATATTTAAAAAAATTCGTCCTCAGTTTTATATTTAATTTCTTCTTTACTGATTGCTTCCTCTATGATGATAGTGTTAATGTCTAAATTCGCTGCCAAAGTGTAGGTTCGAAACTAGAAGTTTCCAGTTTCACCAAAACTTGCTCCTGTCATCCTTATCGCCGTTTAGTTTTGCAAGAATTGGTTGGAGGTGAAATCAGAATAGGAGAAAGTGCCGATGGCATGAATTTGTTTAAGATGGAACTCAACTTGCCAGGAAGTGTGACCCACACACTTGATTTTCATGAGATTCCTCTGCGGCACATATGGAATGAGACATACAGAAACCAGTTATGAAAATTCAACTGTCGAGTGACGCCTTCTGTAGTATGTACGTGATGCGTAATCCTATTCATCGGCTTGTGTCATTGATGAGGTCTTTGTCGCGCTTAGTCTGGGTCCTAGCCTCCGACCTCACGACATCGCTCTCAAGAGTCAT